AATTATTTGTTCAATAAATCTATGAATTAAACTGTTTAAATCTTTCTAATGAATTACTTATTTAATTATAAGAATTAAGAATTATAAGTATTATAAGAATTTAATTATTTATTCAATAAAAATTGATCAAATTAATTAGACTAAATAAGTTTATTTTGACTACGTTAATCTCAAATATTTGAGACTAAATATATTTTCATTTGTTTTATTAATACAATACTTTGAGATTTAATATTTAAAATTCTAGATATTAGTTTTAACAATTTCAATCTATGTTGTAATACAAAGTAATCTTAAAACTCATTCTCACGCCATATATCACATGTTGTCTATAGATTACAAATATATCACGAATTTCCGCGTGTTTTATAAGTCAAACGCGCCGACACATCTCAACATACTTTCACCAGTTCATTTTTAAATTGATCACAGTTAACTTACTAGTAAAAAACCTATTTAATATTAGCATAAAAAATTTAGCATAATATTCATAAAAATAATCAAAACACAATTTAAGATGACACTATGTACAATATAAAATTCTTGTACTGTTTTTATTCCTATGCTTTTCCTATGATTACATGAATTACATAGTCTATCGTATCTATTATGACACAAAAGTACTTTTAACTAAAGACTTTGTACCCAAAGAGTAGATATGCGTAGACCGTAATGTGTACTAAAAGTGCATTCAGTAGTGAATCCAATGCCAAAACCCAGTTATTATGTGTGGCACTAGTGATGAATAAAATGAGGATATTTTATCACATAAAGTGAAACCAGAATTTTCAAGGTTTTCAACGTTTTTACACAAATATACGCTTAAAATGTGTATTCATTGCCATTGATTGACAAAACATTTGTGATGATTGCATGAATGGCATGCTATTTAGTTTTTAAAACATATTATGTATTTGATTTGAACAGCACTTTGAATTGTGTTTAGAGTCCACCATTGAACCGGACTTTGAGTTTTATGCGAGTTATGAATCATTTCCTAAAATTAAATCATAAATCAATTCGTGTTTTACACTTCACTTCATATATAAATAGTTGTGAATAAAAGTTTTACTTTGAGTTCAAATTAAATGTTTGTCTAAAAGTCAACAAAATACTGAAGACTTATTCCTAAACTAAATAAACACAACATGTAAGTTTTATTCAAAGTATTTACTTTCAATAAATTAATAAAACTTTGAATTAATTACAAACAATTACTTATAGCTATAAAATGGATATAAAACAGAGAAACAAATCGCACGTGAATTTCGACACAGAATTCACGGGAAGTACTGATTGGGAGTGCGTTGACTACCATAGCCTTCCCAAATGGCTTCAGGACAACAAATACCTGCACCGACACCACCGGCCAGTCAT